GAGCGCGATGCTGGACCACAGCAACCTCATCCGCGAGGTGAACCGCCGCCTGCAGCTGCACCTCGGCGAGATCCGCGGGCTCAAGGTGAGCGCCGGCCAGGCGAGGGGGGCTCAGCGGGGCGGGGGCGGCAAACTTCCCCTCCGTCAACAGGTGATCCTCCTCTGTCTCCAGTCAGCACCCTTAAGCCCCATCCTTGGCCTTTAGCAAAGTTTTACAAACTTTGGAGGCTTTGGCTCCCTTCTTTTCCCGTACGGGGCGCGCCAGCTTCGAGCTGCCTCCCGGCTCTCCGAGGTGAGAGGAGCGGTCGCCAACGAGGCGGGAAGTCCGGGAAGGAAACGGTGGACCCACAAAACCTTTAATTCCCTAGTTAGTGTACCTTAGAAGTCGATGCTTTGCGGAGCCGGGTTATGGGCAATTAGAAGAGGCGAGCAAGGGAGCAGGTCCAGGGCAGCTTCGCCTTTGGGGGTCAGGGAAAAGGCTGCTCTAGCGCCACCAGGTTTCTGGTGAGTAGAGGGCATGGAAAGGGCGTCACTGCCTAGGAAAGGGCCCAGCGGGGCGCCCAGAGAGAAATAGCAGGTGCCACCCTTGGAGCCGATGTGCGTCACCTGGTGCAGAGGACCTCAAGTTCTGCCTTCAAATCTGCTAGCTCCTGTGCTTTCTTCTGCCATCCTTCGGTGGCGTCACCTGGGATTGCAGTTCACCCCCAGTCTGATTTTAATTTCATCCAGCGTGGGAGGCGAGTCCGGTGGGCGGCAAGGGACTCAATGTGGAAGGCGCTGGGTTTTGAAAGGGTGCCTCAAAATGTCCGTTAGTGGTGCTTTCTTTTTAAGCTAAGCGTCCCTCAGCTGTTAGCAGAAGAGACGCCTAATCCCACACTAACTTTCTTTTCTCCTTGGAGAGCTCTGAGTGCCAGCAGTGTGCCTGCCAGGCTGCAGCAGACCGGTGGTCGGGAACCGCCCTGCTGGCCGGCCATACACTGCAAACTTCCTCTCCACACGCTTGCCGGGTGCCTCCCGGTATTCCTTCCTCTCATTGTTCTGCTTTTGTTTATAGGAAGCCAGACACAAATGAAATAACTGCGGGGACCTTAGGGAGCAAATTCCCCCAGGCACAAGCTGTTCTTGTCCCTTTCCACTCCCACCGTACTTCTCTAGCGGTAGACCGGTTTCTTAATTGCCTCTGCGCTCTCCTGGGATTCTGGGACAAAGGAATGGCGGGGTGGTGCGGGCACGGGGGTGGGGGCAGGACTCACCTGTGTGGTGCACCCAGTCTGAGTGGAAATGGTCCTTCCTCGAGTTCCAAACTCTCTATCACATGGTCCCTGGAGTAGGTGCAATTAGGAAGATCCCACAGACCGAAAATCCCAAGCCTTGACCTCTCCTTTATTTTAATTCCTTATTTATGGATTATTTATTAAGTACCAGGCTGTTTGGGGAATAAAGGCAGGCTGGAATAGTGGGAAGATGATCTTAGAAATGGGTTCGAATCTAGAAACCTCATCTTCCAGGAAGGTGAGCTTGGGTAATTAATTTGTCATGTCCTTATTTTATTCATCAGTATAATGCAAATTATGGTAATTTCCTACAGTGTTGTAAAGATGAATTAATAATGTAGGGCAAGGTTTAGTATTGAGCTTCACTGCAAAATATAGTGTTATTGTTATCAGATGAGGACAAATAAATGTAAGCTATGTGTCTCTGGGAACTGGATTTCTTAGGTAAAACTGCACAATAGTGTTAGATTTTTTAGCCTCCAGTTTAATCTTCTTACATGGTTTGAATAATAATGTGACTTGGAAGAGTTTTAAATTAATTTCCTAAAGATTTTAATATAGAGAATCAAAATAATAAATCAAATTCTTGGACATTCTTTCTTGTTGTGGGCTGTGTGTGAAAATCTATGTGTGAGTGGAGGAAGGGGTGCTATGGGTATTGGGCTGCTTGGTTTTTACTCCAGTAGCATCATTTAGAAAATAGCTATTAGGCCAGTTAATAGCAGTTACACCCCAAGTAGAAAGAAGTCTAGATTCATGAGCTGGCATTAAAAGACTTTCTAGCCTACCCCCTTATCAAGTCCTGAAATGATGGCAGTTGGTTACTTTCTGTTGTACATTTCTTTCTGCATCATCCTTGGGTAGCTTCAAGGTTGTAGACAAGGCCAGAGGAAGCTGTGGTTTTGAGGCTCTGCTGGGAGGCCAACAGTCTCTTTTTTCTTTGTCATTTTAGCTCAGAGCTTTCTTGAACACTGTGGTGATCCATATATTTGGTTGACTAAGTAAACGGTAGGCATATTTATTTATTTGGTTTAATTGGAAGATAGAGATCTTACTTTTGACCTCTGATGGTCTGGCACTCTTAGTTGACTGCAAATGTAGGATAATTAAGGACACAACACTTTCTAATGCCACTTCCAGTGAGCTGACTTTGAAATTTCATCCAAATATTTTTAAGGCTAGTAGGTGGAACTGTAGCTGTACAATTTGATTAGCATGGCAAACTGTTAACCTCTCTGAACTTCAGTTTTCTTCCTAGCTGAGTGGGATTTAAATTCCACACAAGGTTTTATGAGAGTTAAATGATATGCAGGTACAGAAACCTCAGCAAGGTTAGATGGACTTCTCAAGGTCACATAGATAGAGAATCTTCAAAATAGGATTTTCTTTTCTTTTAGCTAGTTAATATTCTTTGTTTAGAATAAGTGGGCCCAAAAGGATGGAAAAAGGACATTTTGATTAGGGTGCTAATGTTGCAAGGCATTGGATTCCTGAAGACCATTTCTTTGGACTGTTACAGTGACCCAGAGTGCTGGTGGGGGCTTGATTTTGGGAACCAAATCTCTGTAGATTTATTGTCTGCATTGCATTAATTTTCCTACTTGCTACCAAACTCCCCACCAATTCTGTAATGAAGAAAAAGAATGAGTTAACACAGTTCTTCTTTACTGATATAGTTTTTGATAGTCTTCAGTCATAAGATTGAAATTTTGGGTCGTACTCTACAAAGTGGACAGAAGTCTCTCTTAGACTTTGGATAATATCTGGAGGTCTACAGTGATGTTAAAAGAGAACCGGATGGTTTGAGAAGAAAGTCCAGGCCTTAATGTGGCAAATTTGAAGAAGCTGGCTCACAAGGCTGCTTAACTATTCATCAGAGGATGAAGGGAATAGCTTCATATTGGAAAGTAAATAATATTCTCAGGAAAAGAAAAAATACGAAGGATGAGCTGTGATAAAGTTGAATGGGCCCGTTCTGGTCACCTCCCTATCTGGAATGTGTGGAAGGTTCTGTTCACCTCCTTAATTCCACCAGCACCAGTCCTGTGTGTATTTCTGGAGAAATCAGAACTAGCATATGAGAGTCAAAAAGTGTTTCAGATGGGAATTCATTCAGATCAGAAAGAACATGACTTTTTTTCTTATCCAATTCCAGGATTAAGTTTAATGTGGAATAAACTTTGAAGCTTAGAAAGATTAATTTTTGTTTAATATTATTTTCTCTGAATAGTCATAGCTTCTGGTTTCCTCTAAGGCATCAGTATCAAGGGATAATTTATCCTCTTACTACTGTAGATTCCAACATAGCAGGGGCTTGCTGCAAATATAGTAGAAATCCTTTCTCTGTAGCTACAGCAGAAACCTGTTTTGGCCACAAACCTAGGGCTCTAAAGGATTGATCAGTACCCTGGAGGTATGTTGCTTGTGCAAAAAAAAAGAAAAAAAGACATCAGATATCTATATTACATTAGCTAAGATACTTATATGAGAAAGGGAGAAAAAAAACTGATGGATGCCCAGTCAATGCTGAAATTTATTATAGGCATTAAGCAGTGAGTGAGAAAGTTACCTCATTCATTTATGAGGTGTAACCTTATGCATATTTGTGGCTAGTGTTCTGGTGCCCAGAGAGACTACTCCGGGGACTGACTCTCTCATTTTAGGTAAGTTCATATGGGTGAGAAGGGCATGTTTTCTAGCTGGAATGCATAGGCATAATTAGGGTTTCTAATTCATCCACACACACACACACACACACACACACACACACACACACAGAGAGAGAGAGAGAGAGAGAGAGAGAGAGAGAGAGACAGAGGGAATCAAAAGCAGTAAGAGAATGTTTTTCAGATGTGGCCAAAGGGTTCGTTCTTTGTCCTTACCAAAGGGTAGCTGCTGGAGGTTGGTGAGCAAAGTGGCAAGCCATTCGGGGAGCCTTTTTGAAGATCAGTCTGGCTGAGGGGTGCTTGGCTTAGAGCAGGCAAGAGAAGACAGGATGGTCAGACTAAGGCAAAGGAGCCAGTGGAAGGCTTTTGGCAAAGTTCAGGCCTTAAGGCCATAAAATAGCCATGAAAAGCAAAAAGAAGAGATGGGCATTAGAAATAAACAAGGGGAAAGTGAATAAGGGAAAAGAAAAAAATATGAGAAAATGGAAATAAAGTGTTTGTAAATGGGGAGGAGAGGAGAGGTGAAGGGAGGGCAGGAACAAGGGGAAAAAATGAGAACCAAGACCTGTCATGTAAAGGTACAAGATCCCAATAATGAATGTAACTGTACTGTATACCTAAAATGTACCAATAAACTCAATAAAAATAAAGAAAAAGAAATAAAGAAACAGAGTTGTTGGTCATGCCAAGAGCTGGAATTGGAGTTGAATGAAAACTAATATTGCAGGCCTTGAAATTCCGTTCTATCTTGGGCTTTGTGATGATCAGGAAATGAAAGACATCATTGGTAGACATTTTAAAGTTTATTTTTTAGTCAGTATCAGGAGACATGTTGAAATCAATTCAAGTTTCACAGAAGGAAGCCCATTTTCTGAGTATCTATAACTCTAAATTGGAAGATGGAGTTGTTCAAGACTAGACATTTTTAGGCTTTGTAAAGCAGGGTAAGTCTTACGTAGTAGCCCCTAACTGCCTTCATTTTACCTGTAACAACAGTGATTCTTTACTCTATGTGTAAGAGTAAGTGGACAACATCACAATGCATTTAACAATTCTCTAGTTTCAGGTGTCTACAGTTGGAGGGCTGTGTTCTAGCTACAAAGAAGAATAGAGTAGATGAAGTTTCCATTCTCTTTGGCTTCAGTGAGGATGGAGACTTGAAGTAACAGGCAGATACATACACATACCATTACACGGTAATAGTTACAACAGAGGAAAAGTGGAAGGACAGTACAGAGAATAGGTGAGGACCTTCTTTAGAATGGATTCTATGGGAAAATAACATAAAATAAGCACTGGTGGCTGTGTACAAAGCTGGGGAAGGCGTTGCAAGTGAAAAAGAAGGGTTTCCTTTCTCTGATCGCAACAAGCCTAGGATTGGCTGCCCTCAGTGTGTGATGTTCAACCTCTCCATTACTATCGCTCATCTAACCACCAACATCTCTACCTGGACCAGTCGCACATCCTCACTGGTCTCCTATCCTCCACCTGATCCTGTCTTCCTCTCTTTTCTTCTCCTCCTAGTCAGAGCCCTAGTCAGTCACTTTCCCACACCAAACTATGGTGATTTTTTACAAAATAAATCATATTTTGTCACTCCTCTAATCTTAGGTCTTCAGAAACCTAAGGTCACTTTCCATGGTCAACCAAGCTCTGTGCTCCTTAGGCCCTGATGCCTCTCAGACCTCCTTTCCCATCTCTTTTCATCTTTTTTTTTCAGGACTTGTGTACTTGTTGTGTACCTATTTCTGTCGGATCATCTTTACTTATATGTTTGCTCTTTCATTTTACCCAGGTCTTTGTTCACTTCTTTCCCTTCCTTGCAGTAGTGGTGCCTTCCCTTGAAAAAACAATTTTTTAAACTTTCTTTAGTTGCTTCCCCAGCACTTTTCATTACATGACAATACTTTTTTTTTTTTTGAGATTCTTTTCTACCAGAATGAAGTGTGTAGCATATGAAGTTTTCTGCTATGTTATCTGATTTATCTCTACCACTGTCCCTTATACATAATAGTTGCTTACTAAATCCCCCCCATTATTGGTACCTTTAAAGCAAATAATACAGTTACATTTATCATTGGGATTTTGTACCTTTACATGGTAGGTCTTGGTTCTTATTTTTTGCCCACACCCCTGCCCTCCCTTCACCCCCTTCACCCTTCCCTATTTACAAAGACTTTTTTTCCCATTTTTTCCTTTTTTCACATTTTTTCTTTTCCCTTATTTCCTTCCCCCTTCCCCTTCCCACTTCCCCTTTAACCATTTTCTTCCTATTTCACATTATCAATTATACCATTTGAATCTTATTTACACTTTTAGTTTTTCTTTCACACCAGAGAAACTTATTCGGTATTTACTTAAGTTTGTCCTATTTATTTCACTTAAGAGTATGGCCTCAATGTGCACCCATTTAGCTATAAATTTCTCTAGTTTCTCATTCTTTATGGAGTGCAGACTGGTGCAACCACTATGGAAATAAATATGGAGACACCTCAAAGAGCTGGGACTAGAGGTTCCATTTGACCCAGCCATCCCTCTGCTGGGTATCTTTCCAAAAGAATTAAAAGAATCACACCACAGCGATATATGTGCACCCGTGTTTATAGCAGCACAGTTTGTAATAGCTAAAACTTGGAAACAACCCAATGCCCTTAAACTGGAGACTGGATAAAGAAGCTGTGGTTTTTCTATAAGATACTTACTCAATCTTTATGAATGCACAGACCGAGTAAGATCATCTGGGACCTTGTGAGAAGTGAAGGAGTTTGCACTTTATTCTAAGGCAGTGGGACACTATTGAATGGTCTGTAATGTGCGGGTGACAAGGTGAAATAAATTTTAGAGGTTGAGTTCCAAAGACTGGTTTGGAAGTGGAAGGTGAGAGAGAAGGTACCCAGCATAACCCCAGATTCTTATAAAGGGAATGGGATGGGTGGACGTGGTGTTTGCAGAGAGGTGCACTTTGGGGAGGGGTGTTTGAATATCAAGAGCTCAATGTGGCTTATGTTATGTGTGAGATACTAGAGAGTCAGCTACATGGGTGCAGCAAGTAGGGGTTGGATGTGGCCACTGAAATGCCAATAGGGGGTAATTGTGTTTCCCTAGTGAGGGGATTGGGGCTCATTCTGTGTTATGGGCTGAACAACTAAGCAGTGTTTTGTTTGCTCTGATGAAAAACCTTTAGTTGCAGAGCTTTAGTTATTTAATGGGTTAAAAGCAGCCATGCCTTTCTGAGGGTGTATGCAGGGTGTTTGTTTTTTATGGACTGATTTATTTTTTTAATAATTCACTGGCTGCTCCCTAAATACTGGATTAGATGGTCCTGGACAAATGAAGCTTTGTGAGATTCAGTTTCTCCTTCTGTATAACAACAATACGTTTATCTTCTAAGTGGTTTGGTGAAACTTAAATGAAATAATAAAGTAATGCAGAGAACAACAGTGATACCTATTGGTTCAGCATTTATGGATAGTTACACACCTTCAGTTTCCTCCCACCCTTTCACCTCTTCCCCTAACATCCCAGAGAACTCACCGATTCCAGGAGCTCCTGATCCCAGCAGTGTGAGCATGAAGCCTCCTGTGAGTACCTTCCTTGAATGGTTGTGTCTCTCTTTTCAGGATATCAACCAGAAACTCCAGCAGGACAACCAGGAACTGAGGGATCTCTGCTGTTTCCTGGACGATGACCGGCAGAAAGGAAAAAGGGTGTCCCGGGAGTGGCAGAGATTGGGCCGCTACACAGCTGGGGTGATGCACAAGGAAGTGGCCTTATACCTGCAGAAGCTGAAGGAGCTGGAGGTGAAGCAGGAGGAAGTGGTGAAGGAGAACATGGAGCTCAAGGAGCTCTGCGTGCTGCTGGATGAGGAGAAAGGCGCGGGCTGTGCCGGCAGCCGCTGCTCCATCGACAGCCAGGCCAGCCTGTGCCAGCTCGCAGCCTCCACTGCACCCTATGTGAGGGATGTGGGAGATGGCAGCAGCACCTCCAGCACTGGCAGCACCGACAGCCCCGACCACCACAAGCACCACGCAAGTGGAGGCAGCCCGGAGCATCTGCAGAAGCCCCGAGGCGAGGGCAGCCCCGAGCACTCCAAGCACAGGAGTGCCAGCCCAGAGCACTTGCAGAAACCCAGAGTCTCCGGGACCGCAGATCACCCAAAAGCTCTCAAAGGACCCAGCCCTGAGCACCACAAACCTTTGTGCAAGGGCAGTCCAGAACAGCAAAGGCATCCACATCCAGGGAGCAGCCCGGAAACACTGCCGAAGCACGTGCTGAGTGGGAGCCCTGAACATTTCCAGAAGCACAGACCGGGGAGCAGCCCAGAACATGCCAGGCACAGCGGAGGGAGCCCAGAGCATCTTCAGAAACATGCTCTTGGGGGGAGCGTGGAACACCTACCCAGACCCAGGGGCACCAGCCCTGAGCATCTCAAACAGCATCACGGGGGGAACCCTGATCATAAACACGTAGGAGGCGGAGGCAGTGGAGGTGGCAGCAGGGAGGGCACCCTGAGACGGCAGGCACAGGAGGATGCATCACCCCATCACCGCAATGTCTACAGTGGCATGAACGGTGGGTCAGTACGCGTTGCGGAGCTGCTTTTCCTGGGCACCTGAGTAGGGAAATCATGAATGACAACGGGCTTTTCAGCCACGTTAGATAGTGCCCAGGGGCTGGCTGAGGGTTGGGTTGGGAGGAGAAACAGACATTTTCCCTGAAATCATGAAGTATATTTCTTCCATTTGTTTTGTTTTTGTTTCATACAGTGATCAGGCAAGTAAGTTAGAAGAGGGCCGAGGGCAAAGGGTTAGGAGAAGAAGAACATCAATTCCTGGAGTCCCTGACTTTCTAGAGTGAAAGCTATGAGTATTGGAGATAAAACCAGGATTTTTTTTTTTTTCATTTTGAAGTTAAGTATTTTCCTAGTTTTTTCTCTGTCTTACTAGGGTTCACTTGTGGAATGAATTCGAGTGATTTTTTTTTTGTTTATTTTTATTTTTTTGGTTTTTTGAGACAGGGTCTCACTATGTAGTTGAGACTGAACTGGAACTCACTATGTATATCAAGGCTGGTCTCAAACTCACAGCGATCCTCCTGCCTCAGCCTCTCGAGTGCTGGGATTACAGGCGTGCGCCACCACACCCGGCAACAAGTGATTTTTGAATCAAGTTAATAGCTTATTCAGAAAGGAATGAATACTTACTTTACTACAAAAATAGTATTAAAAAAATAAATATAGTGTCCCTTAACAGGTTTGATGACTGATTTGCTTGAATGCCTATAAATGTCCTTTTACCTTGAGGACTTTTTTTCCATTGTGTTGGTCATGAATTTGTGACTTTTATTTGCATTAAAAGGCTTCAGATCATTCCCTTTGCCATCACTCAAGGCCCACGAGAGTCCCTTAAACATATTCTGAAGAGCACGCCCTTTTACATTACAGGAGACACCTTTCTGGGTCATTTAAATACACCTGTTTAAAATGTATAGGTGTTTTTGGACTCTCCTTTGGTTTCCAAAGCATGGCGCCTGCTACATTTGCTGAGGCAGCACTAAACCTGAGCTTTTAAACCTTTTAGAAGAGACTTAATTTTCTGCATCTTGGTTCTGAAATCACTTTGAACCCAACCAAACCAAAATCAAAACAGAACAATAAAAAACCTTTTACAATTCTTTTATGTTACTTATGGTTGAGTTGAAACTAAAATAATTGGTTTTATAAAGTGTGGAGCCTTTCATTCAAAATACCTGGGGTCTTTCACAATATGAAAGCTCCTCTAGAGTCTGTATGTGTGGCCAGCTATGAGCAGTGGTGGAGAAGGCTGCCAATTTTAGCAATGCTGCGAAGGGATAAGTTTTTCATATTGTACTTTAAGATTTAGTTGTTGGATTCAATTTCTTCCTAATCCTTTTCTCATAGTGTTGAAAATTGACTCTAGAAGTTTGGCTCCTAATGCATCCAATGTTCCTTTAAGTGCAAACTGAACTAGAAGAAGTGGGAAAGATAGAGTGCTGCTACTTTCTTGGTTCCCTAAGTTGGGAGGTAGAAAGAGAAGAAGCCAATTTATTCATTATGTCCAGGTTTCCTGACTGGTGCCTTTACCAGGTTGCTTGCACGTATACCCACTGTTCCCAAGAGTGGCAGTAGAAGTACCTCAATTGCTGTGGGCAGCCTACACAGGTCTCCACAAGAGGTGAAGGTCATTTAAAAAGATATTTGGCTTGTATTACTGTCAGGTGATAGGTTATTGGCCATGATGCTTGTCTTCAGGGATGGTGATGGGAAAGTAAAGTTAATGACTTTTCCATTTCTTGATTACTTTTTCATGATCTTGAGAAGTAACTGTGTATACTATTTTAGGGAAACTTGGTTTCTTAAACTAAAAATACTTAGGGGCAGGTAGTTCGCCTCCAAATCTTCATTTTATAAAATGGCTCTTTAATTCTAGTTCATTTTTATTTCAAAAATTTATATTACTATTATTGATTGACAAATTATAATATGTACATATTTATTGACTATAATGTGATATTTGATCTATGTATGCAATGTGTTATGCATATCTAGATTAAATCAAACATATGCACCATCTCTCTTACCTCTAATCATTTATGGTGAGACATCTAAAATTTTTTTTGTTTGAGATGTATATGATTATCGACTATATAATAGATCTGAAGTCTTATTCCTCCTTTCTGTCTGAAGTTTTGTGTCCTTTGATTAATAACTCCATATGCCCGCCTCTCCTATTATTATGTTAACTTCTAGCAAAACCATCATCCTACTCTTTATTTCTGTGTGTTCAACTTTATTGGACTCCCTTATAAGTGAAATCATATGACATTCTTTTCTGCAACTGACTTTTTCACGTAACATGATGTCCTCCTGTTTCATCCATGTTGTTGGAAATGGTAGTATTTGTTGTAGCTTAATAGTGTTCTACTTTGTATATACCATAATACACATATATATATATATATATATACACACACACACATATACACTTGATATATACCTTTTATATTCCTTTATACATTCATCTAGTCATGATCAGATTGATTTCATATCTTGGGTATTGTGATAAATGCTGCAATAGACAAAAGAATGCAGATATCCCTTTTACTACTGACTTTAGTTCTTCTGGATATATATCCTGAAGTGAAATTAGTGGGTCATAATAATTCCATTTTTAGTTTTCGAAAAAGCTCCATACCATTTTCCATAATGGTTGTACTCATTTGCATTCTCACCAACAAAATGTAAGAGTTCCTTTTTCTCTACATCCTCTCCAATGTTGATCTTCCATTTTGTTGAAGGTGTGAGGTAATAGCTCATTGTAGTTTTAACTTACATTTCTTTAATGATCCTGAACATTTTGTAATGTAATTATAGGCCATTTATATATCTTCTTTTGAGAAGTGTCTGTTCAGTTTCTTTACCAATTTTTAAATTGATCTACTTATAGTTTTGGTATTGAATTGAGCACTTATTACCTTAAATAATAAGTAGATAATCAGATATATGGTTTGCAAATATATTCTCCAATTTTGTGAGTGTATCTCTTCAGTTTATCAACTGTTTCCCTGACTGTTTTATGTAATACCATTTTTCTATTTTTGTTTTTGTTGTCTATAGTTTTGGGGTCATATTAAAAAAATCATTGCCCACACCAATGTCATGGAACTTTTCCTTTGTGTTTTCTTCTAATAGCTTTACAGTGTCAGATTTTATGTTGAATGTTTTTGATGATTTTAATGATTTGATGATGAGTTTTTTTACTTGGCATATGGGTCCAGTTTTACTCTTCTACATGTGGATATCTAGTTTTCCCAACATTACTTATTGAAAAGATTGCCCTGTCCTCCATTGTTAGTTTTTGCCACTTTTGTTAAAAACAGATGACCATAGTCTGTGAGGCTATTTCTGGATTTTCAATCTTGTTCCATTGGTGAATCTGTTTCTTTTCATACTAGTATCACACTGTGGATATTTTCACAATGTTAATTCTTCCATTCCATGAACACAGAATGTCTTTTATTTTATTTATATTGTCTCAAAAATTTTTAATCAGTTTTTCATAGTTTTCAATATACACTCCTTTATCTTCTTAGTTAAATTTATATCTATTTAATTTTCAATTGATATTGTAAATGGTATTGTTTTCTTAATTTTCTTGTTGAATAGTTCATTATTAGTGTATAGACATGTTATTGATTTTGTATAATGTTTTGTATCTTACCTACAACTTTATACGTCTATTAGTTTGTCTTGTCTAGCAGTTATTTAGGGGGGAGACTTTGAGGTTTTCTGTACATAAAATCATGTTATTAGCAAATAGAAACAGTTTAAATTTTTCCTTTCCTATTCCAGTTTCATAATCTTTCTAAATTGCTTTGGCATTGACTTCCAGTACTATGTTAAAAAGTGGTGAGAGTGGGCACCTTAGAGGAAAAGCTTTCATTTTTTTCATGTTGAGAATGGTATTAGCTGTGTATTAGTCATATTAATCTTCATTATATTGAGTTACATTTCTTCTATACTTAGTCTGTTGATAGTTTTGATCATGAAAAGATGTCGAATTTTGTTAAATGCTTTTTATGCTTATATTGAAATTTTTCCTGAAATTAATGCATGACTTAAAAGTTTTTAGGTGCAAATTTTAAAATAAATGATATCTCTAGATAAGGGTGATGTTATATTATGGCTTATTATTATTGGGATTCAGGTAAACTTAGTGGGTAAGGCAAATGTTTCTTAAAATTTAACAACTTAATTTAGTTACAAATTTGATGTAGCAGCTACATTATAGAATGACATAATAGTTCAATTCTTTTTTTTAAATGTAAAAATTGGTTGAATTTAATTTAATCAGGTTAAATAGTATAATAAGAAGGCTTTTTAGTGTATCTGTTTCAAGTTTTATCATTCATAAATGGTTTTCTGTTGATAGTTGATATCCTCACCACAGTATATTTGCAGTACATTTGCATTGCATTTTTATTTCAGTAATTAACTGGAAAATGAAGTGGCGCAATGAGAAGTTTAGGGATCATCAGCCTGTAAACTTGAGCTTTGGTAGTTTGTATTAATCCTGCTGTTACAAATTAATTTTTGATATGGATGGTAAGACATGCTTTTTCATATTTTTAAATTCCCACGCAGTTTGTTTGCATCATTGGTGTATATAAGCAGATAAGAACCACTAGCAAGGCTAATCCTTAATTGCAAATTAGTTGAGTCCTTTCCAGAGCTACTCTCTTTGGGACTGGTGTGAACTGTGAGTGTTTTGGACCAGCTCTTGTGTGTTTTTATATGTATAAAGAGCAGGTAAAAGTTAAGTGAGAAGAGTGTCTGCATTTTAGCAGAATGAAATAGAGATTAAATAATGTGTTGGCAAGATATTGTCCTAACTGAGAACATTTATTCTCTGCAAACACACACATTTATGCAGGCCAGGGGGAGAGATTGCCATCTTAGTTGACTGTGCCTTTCTTAGGTGTCTTTAACTCTTCATTATATTAGCTGCACTGCATCTTTAACTCTTGGGCATCTTTAACTCCTCTTGTGCTTT